TAGTAGGATAGGTAGAATCTTTACTCTAATAGGATTACATTTCTAATAGGACTGCAACATATTTATGTAATTTTTTTCTTTGATCAGGAAAATCTAAATTAAAAAATAACAAGAAAAAGAAAAATGAGATAAAAACGAACAGGACTACCCTAACCGTCTAGAGCAAAAATCAAAGAAAAACTATCTACCCTTGGCCCTTGCCTTTGTCTTTGGTGCCGTAGGCAATCTTCTTGACACTCATTCTTTGTGTCTTCCTTCTCTCCCTTTCCATGTACTTTGTTTTGGTGTAGAACTGTCGCCATGAAACGTTATAGTTGTTGTGATAGATGTCATCTTTTGGTCCACTTTTGGCTCACACACAATTTACACAAGCTTTTGGATCCAGTTCACCTTCGATATGCGGTTGAAGCTGGAAGCCATGAAAGATGTCAAATTGCGTCGAGATCAAGTTTATCCAGTATGACACTATGGGTTTAGTTGGTGTGGTGATATATATGGATCTCAGATGCCCAGAGGATGTGGAGCTGCGTCATGGTTTTATTATCTTTTTATTTTGTTTCTGTTTGATAATTTTTAGGAATTGTCTTAGAGTTTGGTTTTCTTCCCTTAGGAGAGTTTGCTAGTTTGATTTCTCTCTATAGGAGAGTTGCTTCATTTTAATTTTTGTTTTGGTGTGCTACATCTCGTTTGGATCTATGTGTGAAGGGTGGAGCAAGTTTGGTTTGTTGGATTTACTGTGGAGCAAGTTTGGTTTGTTGGATTTACTTCACTTGGTGTTCTGTGATAGTGGTGGTGATTAGGTGATGCAATTAGACTAATGGACATCGTATTCCCTATCCCATTATGATTGAGATTTTTGTTCTAACTATTATGATTTGCGTCTCAAATTAGAATGATGCAGAAATTTGGTTTGCATTACCTCCTATTTAGGCTAATTGTGTCCTATTTGGGTTGGGTTTTTTACTTCCTTGTTGGTTTCTTTATCATTAAAAGATAATGATTTGATTTCCTTGCCTATTAGGATTTAGATTTTACTTCCTATTAAGATTCCTATATAAACCTAAGTCCTATGCTCTATAAATAGGACCTTAAAGATAGTGTATTTAGTACGAATCATTTGTGTGGCAATTTGTTAAGAGTCAATTTGTGAGGTAGAGAGCAATTTGAGAGAACCTTCTCCGTTTGTTTCAAGTTGTCTACTCGTTTGGCTTTGTTATCGATTGTAATTTATAGGCTTTGGATTGTGAGAGTTTAAACACTCTTTTGTAATCTCATTTTGTTTATTGAAATTCCTTGTCGTGCTTCGCCCGTGGATGTAGGTTTTTCGCCGAACCACATAAATTTCTTAAGTTCCATTTGAAATTGTTTTTGCTTTCACTTACGACGTTATATTTGGTATTTTATTATAAACTACTTCTGCATAAAATAAGACTCACATGATTCATTTAACACAAGGTTTAACGGTTTTATTAATTTGTGTAATCTTACAGTCCTTGATGAGCTCGGGTTTGAACAAGTTTTTAAAGTCTAGTCATTGCTTGGCGATGCTTTATTGTAATATTTTTAGATATAGTTTGCAAGGACCATTTGTGGCCGAGTTCTTCATGATACGTAATGCCCTTTTTTTCAGTGAATGAAATATCGTACTATTCTCAATAAAAATAAAAATGAACAATGAAAACTATGAAATGAATCAACCTTCTTAGATCTACAAAATATCAATTACAGAAAGTAAGAAATAATTACCTAAAATAGTTTCGGGGAAGAACGTCACTCAAGACCCACTAATACTCTTTCTTACTGGCGTCTCAAATGCTAGACAACCATAATTAAAACAATTACAATAAAAAAATCCTAGAAATCTCGCTTTCAAACCTTGAGATCTGAAAATGCGACAGAAGATTTCAAAAAGAAAACTCTGTTGCGCTTCAATGATGGTAGATAAAAATCGTATATGATAGGTAGAAACGGTTCGAAACTTGTTTAATGGAATGGCGAAACACTGGGCAGGAATACGAAATTACATGCAACTAGACCCTGCTAAGTGTCTCTCATTTTAAAGACTTAAAAAGATGCAAACAAATGAGGACTAAAAAATTCAAAACAAATTTATTAGGGACTAAAGTAAAACTTGGGAAAAGTTTAGGAACCATTGATGCAATTAACTTTGAAAAAAAAGAAAAGAAAGAGAACCCCCTTTTTTCTTCACATAACAGAGTCTTCCTTGTGTTTTCATTTTGACATTATGTTTGCTTCATATATGCTTTAGGTGGATGACAAATGGGTGCCATGCAGATAGAGAACTAATAGAAACAAAAATATTTTAAACGACTTGAGAACTTAAAATTTGTCTTGGTAACCAAATACTTTCTTAAAGAACAATGTTTAGGTCCACGACCCCACATCCAATATTAAATTGAAGGGTAAATTTCTGTTTATTACTCTTATGTTTCATAATTTTCAACATTTAGTTCATCAAATTTTTTTCGTTCCAGAGTCATACCTAAAGTGTTAATTTTGGAACAGTCTCATACATCCGTTAGTTAAAATGTTAAGTCTGCCGTTAACTGATGATGTGGCGCCCATGTGAACAATGACTGGGCGCCACGTGTCATTAAAAAAATTAAAAAAATAATTAAATAAAAGTACTTACAAAAAAAAAAAAAAAAAAGAGAACCCCCTTTTTTCCTTCCCCCTTCGTCTTCCCCACTGGTGTGACGGTAAGCCCCTTGCCTCCCTCGCCCGCGCCAACTTCCATCTCCACCGCTCGCTCTCCTCTCTCCTCTCTCTCTCTTCTCTTCTTTCCTCTTTCCTCTTTCCTCTCTCTATCTTATAAGTCTCTCTCTCTCTCAGGTTTCTCTCTCCTCTCTCTCTCGCCAGAAAGGCAAAACCCTAAATCGCCGTTTACACCTACCTGAGTAAGTTTTCTCTCTCCTTTCTCCTCTCTTCTCTCTCCTCTCTCACTGTCTTTCTTTCTCTATCTAAATTTTGAATATATGGGTCCTTGTACTATTAATCTGCCATTTACATTCTTGTGCAATATTTGTATATTTAAAACCTTCAAACTTTATTATGAATGTGTTATTTTTCTCCTTGTTATACCCAAATTTCAAATCCCAATTTCTCAGATTACGAAACCCAAATTTGCTATGTTTGATTTTGGATGGAAATTCAGATCTGGGTGTTGTCTGTTTACTTGGTTGGGAGATATTGACCGGGAAACTTGTAGAGCTTGATGGAGTGGTCGACGGAGTCGGAGGCGAGGCAGGTGGAGTTGGGGTTGAGAGCGAGAGTCGTGATGTTGTCGCGGTGGTGGCAGAGGAGCTTGGGAGGGCTGGACAGGATAAGACAGTCGTGGATGGCGATTGTGGGGTCGAAGGATGAGACCGTCACGACATGGTAGGCCTGCTGGTCCCACAACACCAAGCAGTACGACGTCCCCCGGCCGCTGCTCGTGGGCTTGTGGGCCTCTCGGAGCTTCAAAGTTCAGATCTTCATGGCTCTGCATGCGGATCGACGAAAACTTGGATTTGGGTTTTTGTTGGATTTTCCAAATTTCTTTGTTGTTTGATTTTTTTTATTCATGGTTTAGGAGGTATTTGGGGCTAAGATTTGATCTGGGTTTTGAAAGTTTTAGCTCGATTTTTGTAGGGTTGTTGATATTTCTGGATTTTGGAGATGAAAACTGAGATGGGTTTAGGATGAGGGGTTTGGGATGATGAAGATAAAGCCATGGTTGTTGCAGTTTTAGGAACCACTGTTTTTTTTTTTTATGAACCCCTTCTCAACAAAAAAAAAATCCACGTGCACCCGTAATGACACGTGGTGCCCAGTCATTGTCCACATGGGTGCCACGTCATTAGTTAACGGCAGACTTAACAGTTTGACTAACAGATGTATGAGACTGTCCCAAAATTAACACTTTAGGTATGACTTTGGGACGAAAAAAACTTAATGTACTAAATGTTGAAAACCATGAAACATGAGGGTAGTAAACAGAGATTTACCCTAAATTAATTTCAGTTCTCAAGTCGTTTAATTTTTTAAATAATTTGCTTTTTATATTAGTTCCCCATCTACATGATATCCATTTGTCATCCACCCAAGCAATATAGGAAGCAAACATTTTGCAATAAAAAAATGAAAACACGACAAAGGCTCTATTATGTTACGAAAACCTCGCGGTATGTGTTTCGTGTTTTCTTTAATCAATTGCATCCATGGTTCTTAAATACTCTACCAGTTGTCGTAGGAATTAGAGTTACCAACATATGACACTAACACTATTTCCTAACAATACAATGCCTACCTACATTCAATCTGGTCCAACAACTGAGTTCATAACAAATAAAATAAAATACATTCTATAGAAGCTCTTGGACTAGATGCAATGAAGGCATTGTTTTATCAACATTATCAATGTTTTGTGGGGAATGATATTAGTGCCATACGCTAGGAACTCTAATTCCTACGTCTACGAATCCTATTAGGAATGAATTGGTCCACTAGAATGCAATGTTTTATACAAAGTAAGAGTTGAGGTTGTGTTTTTTCAACTACGAAAGGTACGTTGCCAATGAAGGCAAGCACAAGCACTCAAGGGTAGTGTTGAAGTGACTACAACATGACTGCCATGGATACATGTCTAGTGTCACTATAACTTAATTATTTTTCAACAAAAATCTAAAAATATACCATACACAATGACATGTTGTAAATACCCTAAAATCATATTTATGAACCTTTAATGATGGTTCATTTCATCACCGCCATTAATTTCAAGCATGAGATTCTGTGTACGCTTAAACTAAAAGGAGCGAGGTCAAGCACATGCTTTTCTTAGTAAAGACACTTTCCTAAGAAACTAGCCTCTGTTTAACAAAGACCATTTTGTTGTCAAGTGTAAAAAAGAACGATATTGAGTACATTTATTATATTTACTAAGATCACATTCAATCCAGAGACACCCAAACATAACATTTAATCAGCTATTCATTAAATGGTAAAGTATGATCAAATAAAATTAAGACCTAGACTGACCTGTCATTTTGTCATTGCTGACAAGTTTATATCTGTCCAACTTAGAAACTTATCCAAGACAAATTAGACCAAGTTTATCATCTTCAGCTCCTTTATACTTTGGCTTTCGCTTCTCAGAAAATGCTGCTAGGGCTTCCAAGCGATCATTTGTGTTCAACGTTTGTTCATAGCATTGTTCTTCTAGAGCCAAAGCTGAGGTTTTATCTACCTCCACCCCCTCGTCAACAGCTTTTTTTGCCACCCTTATTGCGATTGGACCCTGCTAACACTATATTTCATAAAATTGATTGCAACAATTACTCGCAACTTTTTTTTTTCTTTGCCCAGTATGATGATTTCAAGTGATGCTTAGTTTCTACAGTCTTTTGCCCCTTTTCAGTGCATGTATTAAACATTTGTTCATTAGAGCAGATTTTGTGCAATAGAGAAGTTTCAGCTATAGACGTCCACTTTGATAGAGATGTTAGAATGTAGTTATAATCGGAAGGCGAAAGTTCAGTTCATAGATTACTCAACCCTATAACAGTCCCCATGAAATAGTATAAAATGAACGCAATTGTGGATAAAATAATGCCGTACCTTCTCATTTATATTGCGAGCAACTTCAATTGCCTTTAGATGAGCTTCACCAGCAGGAACACGGTAATTTACCAAACCTGTAGTGACATACAATCTTGTGTCAAAGGAAAATAAGACAAAAGGAAAGCAGCTACTGAGTAGACATACATCACATACCTATCGACATTGCTTCCCTGCCACCAATCTTCCTACCAGTGAATATTAGTTCCTCTGATATTGCTTTTCTTACCAATCTAGGAAGTCGCTGTGTTCCACCTGCTCTGTAAATGGACATAATCAAGAGAGTTGATCTGAACTGGACGAATAATTTCAGAAAAATGGAGAGAAAGAAAAATAAATAAATAAAGAGGGTAAAATAAGAAGTAATCATGCGGAAAGTTCTTCCAGAAAGTGTAGACTATGGATGACACAATTCCATAAATTACATATCGGTTGGAATGGGGATTAAAATCCTTTCTATCTCTTTGTGATCGGAAATGGTCTGCTATGAGACCCGCTTAGAAAAAATTGAAACAGAAAAGAATGTTTGGTTCGTCAAACAAGATGCAGGTGATCTGCAATCCTTGGGGAGAGGTCATAGGTTATAATGGGAACTGATTCTGAAATTTAGCACCTACCCAGGAATTATAGCAAGTCCTGTTTCTGGCAAGCCCATCACTGCATCTTCTCCTAATTAAGGATGGGTAACGGTTATGGCGGGCGGGTAACCGTAGTTATTTATCCATAACCGTTTATACTCATACTCATATAACCGTTTATCTGTTGGGTAATTGCCTAAACAGTTATACCCATACCCATAACCATTTATAAACGGTTAACTATATCCATAACCGCATACCCATTTAACCGTAACCGTTTAATACTCGTTTACCCATTTACCCTTTTTAACCCATTTATCTTTCTTTTTTTACCATTATCCCTTTTTAACAACTTGAAAATTAAAAAAAAAAATTGTCATAATTTTTTTTTTGACAATTAACACCGTTATAGGTACATTCATCATACATTTCCGTATTTTAATTTTTTAAGTCCTTATACCATTCCAATAATTGAAATAATAGCCGGACCCCTTGTACATTAAACTCATGAAATACATTACAAATTAAAGCCATAATTTCTATATGGTATCAGAGCAGGTTCTTTTGTAACTTGTCTCTGCCATTCTTGCTGCTGCAAATTTTTTCTTTCAAAGTCTAAGTCATGGCTGAAGAAAGTTCTGTGAACCATGATGAGGAAACCCAGCATAGTCTCTCTCCAAACTTCTCAGACGTTGAGGTTAACACCAATCAACGTTTATGTTCAGTTCTTTTAAACGAGTTCAATTATCTTCCTTGGTCCCGAGCTGTTTCACTAGCTCTTGGAGGCAAAGGGAAGTCAAGGTTTCTAAATGGAAGTGTGGAAGCTCCAGACCGTTCTTCCTCTACATACGATGCATGGCTCTGCAAAGATCAACTTGTCATGTCCTTATTGCTCAACACCATGGAGAAATATGTTGCTGAAATTTTTAGCTACTCCAATTCCGTACATGATCTTTGGAAAGATATGTATGGAAATCAAAACAACTATGCGCAGGTCTTCCAATTAAAGAATGACATTGCCAGTGCTCAACAAGAAGGGAAAGCGTTTGTTCAACACCTTGGGAGTCTCAAAGCCATGTGGAATGAGTTGGATGTATATATCCCACATACCACAAATCCTACCATTCTCTTAAAACGAGCTAAGGAAGACAACATTTATCAGCTGTTAGGGAGTTTGAGCTCTGAGTACGAGGACTTAAAGAGTCACATCTTGATGAGTCAAGACCTACCTACCTTCAACAATGTTTGTGCAACTATCCAACAAGAAGAAGCAAGGAAGAAGGTTATGAATGCTGATCACAGCCCCAGATTGACTGACTTAAGCATATGTATCAAATTACAAGAATTCAGAAGCCAAGGTATACAAGGGAAGAAGCACACATCTAAAATGTAAATATTGCAATGGTGTTGGTCATGTGGAAGACAAGTGTTGGGAACTTCATCCTGAACTTAAGCCTAAGTTCAGCAAAGATGGAAAAATGATACTAAGGTCCTCACAACAATTTCAACCTCATTTCAAGGCACAACTTGCTAATGTTCACCCTCCTACTATTTCACAAGGATCCATGGAGTTCACTGCCAATCCATTGTCATTGATCAATGAATTTGCAGCTTACCTACAAAGTAAGGGACACAGAGGAGGCTCACATGGTCAAGGCAATGAAGAAGGTAGTCACACAACTATGTTGGGACAATTTGCCGGCTTTCTTGCTGGAAATGAGAAAGTTCCAAAGGAATAAGCATTAGGTATACTCAAAGCCTTCACTACTGCCCTATTAACTAGTACTGAAACTGATTGTTGGATAATTGATCCAGGCGCCACAAATCATATGACAAACAAAGTTACAAATTTACATCATTTTAAAAAAATTTCAAGTCCCTCGCATGTGTATGTTGCAAATGGAAAAAATGTCTTAGTTTTGGGGAAATGAGAAATAAACTTACTCTCTCAAAAAATACCTTTCACTGCCCACTATGTACCAACCTTTCCTTTCCAACTTTTGTCAATTGGAAAGATCACCAACACTCTAAACTGCCGTGCTATTTTCTCACTAAATAATGTGATGTTTCAGGATATTCTCACCATGAAGATGATTGGTGAAGGGGTCTTCATAAATGGACTTTACTACCTGTGCAAGAATGCATGTTTCACTCAGGCTCTTCAAGCTCAATCAAAGTTCATAGATGAAAACCAACTTTGGCATAGGAGATTAGCTCACCCCTCTAAAGTTGTCTTGTCTAAACTGTTTCTAAATTTTTTGTAACCCTTATCCTACTGGTGATACTTGTCAATTTTCTAAGTTTACTAGGCTACCTTTTGGTAATTCAATGTCTAAGACAAGTAAACCTTTTGAAATGGTACACACCGATGTATGGGGACTTGCAATTGAATCAATGGAAGGGTTTAAGTACTTTGTTCTGTTTGTTGATGATTTCTCTCGAACAAGTTTTCTATATCTTATGAAATCAAAGAGTGAAGTCCTAACCATTTTCAAAGACTTTCACATGCATGTTAAAACACAATTTCAATCAAACATTAAGGTTTTAAGGTTAGATAATGGCACTGAATTTCTATCCAACAACATGCTTCAATACATAAGTTCTCATGGTATCATACATCAAACCCGCTGTGTAGGGACTCCTAAAAAAATGGAGTAGCCGAGAGGAAAAATAGAGATCTCTTGGAGAAGACTCGTGCTCTCATGATTTACATGCATGTTCCAAAGAAATTTTGGTCGTTTGCCATCCTTACTGCCACTTATCTTATCAATCAACTTCCAAGTCGTGTGCTAGGGTTTAAATCTCCCTATGAAGTTCTCAAGGGGAGGAAAATAGATTTGACACACCTCAAGGTGTTTGGTTGTGTTTGTTTTGTTCACATCCAAACTTTGAACCGTGACAAACTAGATGCTAGGGCAACCAAGTGTGTGTTTATGGGATACTCGGCCACCCAAAAGGGATAAAGTGCTTTAATCCAGTCACTAAGAAGTGCACAGTTTCAAGAGATGTGAAGTTTAAAGAAGATTGTCCCTATTTTACAAGTCAGGGGGAGGATTTAGTTGACATGTTCCCACTTTCTCAAAACTTTAATCATCCGATGTTGGAAGAAAGATCAGTCACTGTGAGTCCAAATTGTGAAGAGGTACAAATTGACCAAATTACTGCCAGTGATAGTGAAGAAGAGTCCCACTATGATCATTCTCAGTCGACTACAAAGTCTCAGGTGATTAAGAGAAACCTTCCTCGAATCAAAAAACCTCCAGCTAGGTTGCAAGACTATGTTACATATGCCTCACAGCATCCTATCATTGAATGTATCAGCTTTAGTAAGTTCTCAACATTTCATGCTGCATTTCTTAGTGAAATTGATAAGCATTGTGAACCAAGAAGCTTTCAAGAAGCTTATCTTCTCCCACAATGGAACCAAGCCATGACAGAAGAGCTTCGTGCACTGAAAGAGAATCACACCTGGAGTCTAGTTCAACTACCACTAGGAAAAAAGGCTATTGGAAGTCGTTGGATCTACAAGACAAAATTCAAAGCTGATGGATCTAACGAGAGACACAAGGCTAGACTTGTTGCTCGAGGTTTCACCCAAACCTTTGGAGTAGATTATAAGGAAATATTTGCACCGGTGGCCAAGATGAACTCAGTCAGGGTTTTACTTTCAGTTGCAATCAATTGTGGGTGGTCACTCTACCAAATGGACATGAAGAATGCTTTCCTTCACGGAGAGTTGCAGGAAGAAGTGTATATGCAACCTTCTCCAGGCTATGATGGTATCAAAGGCAACATGGTTTGCAAATTGCACAAGGCAATATACGATTTGAAACAATCACCAAGAGCTTGGTATGCCAAGCTCAATTCTGTTCTGGAAAAGGCTGGATTCGTGCGAAGTAATGATGATTCTTTGTTATTTGTGAGAACTGGCACCAGTGGGAAGTTGGTGGTCCTCATCTACGTTGATGATCTTATCATCACTGGAGATAGCACTGTGGAAATTGAGGCACTAAAACTTTCACTACATCAAACTTTCGCTATCAAAGATTTGGGGAGGTTAAAGTATTTTTTGGGGATCGAAATGGCAACATCTTCAAAATGACTGTTTCTACATCAACGGAAATATGTATTGGACTTTCTTCAAGAAGCAAAAATGCTTGACTGCAAGCTTGCTATCACTCCCGTTGATTGTAAATTGAACCTCAGCATAGATGGAGAAGCCATGCATGATGTAACCTACTATCAACGATTAATAGGCAAGCTCATATACCTCACCATCACTCGTCTAAATATCACTTATGCAGTGAGCTTGGCTAGTCAGTTTATGCACTCTCCCACTGTTGATCATCTTAACATTGTTAAAAGAATCCTTCGTTATTTCAAGGGTTCAATAGGGCAAGGAATTACAATGCATAACAATCAATTCACTGTCATTAGTGGCTACAGAGATGCAGACTGGGCAGGTAATGCAATTGATAGGAAATCAACCACAGGTTATTGTACATTTGTTGGTGGAAACCTTGTCACATGGAAGAGTAAGAAGCAACGGGTAATTGCTCATTCCAGCGCAGAGGCTGAGTATTGAGCCATGGAAGCCACTCATTGTGAACTCATTTGGCTTAAAGGGCTTCTTTCATACTTAGGGTTTTCTAGTTCTACTCCTATATCACTTATGTGTGATAATCAGGCAGCCATGCACATTGCTGCCAACCCTATGTTCCATGAAAGAACCAAACATATTGAAGTAGATTGTCATTTCATCAGAGCTCAAGTTCAAACTCAAATCATCCGGACCATGTTCACACGAAGCCATGATCAATTGGCAGATCTCTTTACAAAGGCATTGGCATCCACTCAGTTCCATCGATTATTAGGCAAGCTTGGCTCAGTTAACCTCCTCGATCCAGCTTGAGGGGGAGTGTTGAAATGTTGAAGTGTTGAAGTGTATTTTGGCCTCTAGAGTTAGCTACCATGTTCTCTAGGGATAGCTCTAGGCAATATTTGTAATTAGTAATTAGTTTTCTTTTCTTGATTTAAGGGAGGTGATTGATTGGTGCAAGTTGTTTTTTGTAAGGTGTAGATTAGGCTAGCTTGTCTAATTTGTCTTCCTTTTTCAGTCTTTGTCGGCTGCTTGTAGCAGTCTCTTTTTTTCTATTTTCTGTTGGCTGCTTGCAACAGCCATCTTATCTCTCTTTCTTCCCCCTCTTTCTTCTCATATATATCTGGACCCCTTGTACATTAAACTCATGAAATACATTACAAATTAAAGCCATAATTTCTATAAAGTGAACATAAATTTGAAGAATTCTTTGGATATCGAGTACAAGTTCCTTGAAAGAAAAGAAAAACATCGATTTGGACAAAAAACATAATCAAAATTCCGACCTTTAAATCTGCCCCAGCACAGAACACCTTGGAAACGTTGTTGCGGATCAGCAAAACATTAGCAGAGGAATCCTCACTGACAGCTTCAAAGGCACTTTGTAAACGTCTCTGCATATCTCTGCCAATTGCATTCCTCACCTCCGGCCTCTCAAACCTAACCTCAATAATCCCTGTTACCAAACAACCAAACCCAATTCGGTTAACGCTTTCTAGGTCATAGAAAATTGGCATAAACAGAGATAACCCACTTGTTCATACGAATTTTGAAACTGGAAACTACCGGAATAGGAGTCGGAGAGTCGGTGGAAAGTGACGGAGTGAGACGGGGCTGACTCTAAAATCAGAGTATGGCGAGTTTGGTGAATCCATTGATTGGATTGAAGAGAAAGTGAATTCTCTGGTAATATAGAGGTTGTGGGTTTGTAATGTTTCAATGACCTGCTTAGGACTCTTAAATCGCCAGCCATTTTTCGTTCAGAAGCTCAAACTGCTCTTCCGCCAATTGATGGAGCTCGAGAGGCTTTAAACTGTTGATGAGGGAGGCGTTTAGAGAAATTCTGTCCAACAAGACAACACAAACCAATAACTCATGCCACCTGTCCCACTAAAACCAACAATTTATCCAACGTCTTATCCGTTGCATCTGAGTTTGAATTTTAAAGAAACTTTTTTATATGTTAAATTTAGAGATGTAATATTCATACATCCTTTTTTACTTCTCTCACATCTTTTTAATTTTCGGCCGTCGGATCAGATGAATTGAAGAATATCAAATGACAAAAATTAATAAGGAATGTGGGAGAAGTAAAAAGGGGTGTGTAGATAGCACACCCCTAAATTTATAATACGATAAGAAAGATTTGAATCTAGATGCATAATTAGAAGCACCCATATTAAAATATGTCATTAATACTACCATCTAGTGATATTATTTTTTATTTGTATGTAACAGATTTTATGTTCGATTTTCCTCAAATGCGAATTCAAACTAAATTATTATGGCTACTCCTAACTCACTCATCCACCCTTTAATGTAGGTAATATCGAATGTATTAAACAAATAATTTAAAATATCAACTTGGGTTTTTTTTATTAACACCCCACATATTTTGAATACACCCCACGTAAAAATTTATTATTAAATGACTTATATATCCTATTATGAAATGACTAGTTAGGCCACATTTGAATTTAAAAAATAAAATGATTTTCTGAATACACCCCAAATTGTTTTCATATTTTTTTCTTCAAGCTCTCAAAGTCACTCCTATCATCCATTGTAGAACAAAAATCTAACAACTACCAACAACTACCAAATAAGGTGAGTATAGATGGAGACACACACACACACACACACACACACACACACACACATACATGTATATATATATACATGTAAAATCTAAAATCCCTAATTGAGACGAACACATGATTTGATTTAGATTTTAAGTGGAGAGTGTGGGGTATATGTAGAAAGTGTGGATAGTATTGGAAAGTATGTGTGGTGTATTAAAATAAATTTTAGTCTAAAAAGTAAATGTGAGGTGTATTAAGTATATGAGGTGTAGTCAATAAAACGTGAGGTGTGAATAAAACAACCCAAGAAAAAATAATGAAAAATTAAAAATTGAACACACAAAAAGGAAAAAAAAAATATAACCATTGGGAAATTGTTAATTTCCCCAAATTCAAATTTACTGATGCTTAAAGCATATCTAATGCATGCAAATTAGATCCTTGCATGCTAATCAGTCATTTATTTGCACAATATCATCTAGGGTGAGTTCAAAAAATCGAAAACTAAAAAAAAAATCAGACCAAACACCAAATCGAAAACAAACAAAAAAAGGAAACCGAAAAAGAAAAAACCAAACAAAACCGAACCTTATTGATTCAGTTTTGGTTTTGGGGGTTTGAAAGCCGAACCAAACCGAATCCCTTTACACTTTATGAATGTACCCATAATGTTTTTTGTGTGAAACTTTGTTGACAAGTTTGAAACTAAGCCTAGGACTTTTTCAAGGAGCATACTTGGTTCAATTAGGGAAGATATTTCATTGGTTACAGAATAAAGTTTTGAAAGGCTTTGGAACTTGAAATAGCTTTTCTATTTGTTTGCTTTTTAAATGGATACGGTAATCAATTTTTTTTTTTTGCAATTGAGGTTATTGATAGAATATGATTGGTTTATATAATCTTGTATATATACAATTACCTTTTCACTTTCCCCATTTTCTTCTTTTTAGTCTACTAATGCAAACCACTTTTTTAAATTTCATATTAAAAAAAGATTTAAGTTTTTATAAGATAAAAATAAAAAATAAAAAATAAAAACCGAAACCAAACGAAACTGAAGTTTCAGTTTGGTTTTGATTTTGACAAAAAACCGAACCAACTGACACCGAACTCACCCCTGACATCCATTGTTATTTTTCATCATTCACAATTAAGAGATATGAGGTACAGATGAAAGGGGAAAGGCGAAAGTAGAAGAAGATTTGGAGTTTCCCAATCTCTTTGTTGATTTCAGACTATTTTGTCAATATACAGAACCTCATGTCTCATGATTTGAAGTTTTGGAGGCATTTCAATGATCTGGCACAACATGACCGGACGAAAGTCCAAACATAAGGCTTTGGTTTGCTTGAAATGTTATCGAATCAATGATTTACCAGATAAAGCAAGTAGCCAAGGTTATTTTCTTCTCCTACCCATTACATTCTTATCTGGTAAATCATCAAATTGATAACTAGTTACGACCCTGTTTCAAATGATAGCTAGTTATGAGCAAGGTATAAAATATCGGTAGTCCAAAAACACGGAAATATCGATGAAAATATCAGTATATTATTGATATCGATAAAAATAATATGGAAACCACGGAAATTGTAAGAAAAACTTGGAAATTTTTATTGAAACTTTTCAGGATGTTTATTTAGTCAATTATCAATTAGTTTATCACAAAAAATTGAAAGGAAATGCATTGCATGATGAATTTAATTGATTTAAGTTGATTATATAGCGAGCTGACAAACATTTTGAGTGTAGAAAATATGTAGTAATTAATGAAAGAAGTTTAAACATACCATAATCATTTATATATAATGAATTGGCTGTAAATAAATAAAATTAAGATATATAGTAATTAATGAAATAAGTTTAAGAAACACTAGGCGCTAGTTGGTCAACGGGTTAGCACCTAGCGCCTAGGCGGCTAGGCAGGATCTAGGCGGGCGCCTAGGCGGATTTAGGTAAATTTCTTGTATATCTTGTAATTAAGTGCATATTGACACATAAAAATTATACTTTATGAAATCCATGAATAAGATAACAAAAGAATGATAAAATACAAAAAGAGTATCAAGCAAGTCCAAAATTTAAAAATATATTAAGCATATATGTCTTATAACTTAAGACATTTTAAATGATTATATCTAATTTTTTATTTTTTTTAAAGTAAAAATCCCATGTAATGGGTGGGGTGGTTCATAATAAAATAAAACTATTAGAAAGCACATCTCTTAGCCAAACCACGCACATTGGTATCATCTCCAAAATCCTCTCTTTTCTATTTATGATTTTATTTGGATTGGTGTCTCACTTTGAACTTTGGAGCACCAAAACCGATCAGAAACCTATAAAATCATAAATAAAATCATGAAGAGGTGCCTGCATCATTGCATCCTTCCCCATGATGCCTTGAAAAACAGGACTTTTATGCTTTTGGTGTCCATCCAACTTGCATGTGTCCTTCAATGTCAGATACATTTTTTTTTATTAATTTACAAAGACACTATTAATGTTTTCGTGCCCTTTACACTTCCTCTCCTCAGTCTTCACACCTCACTCCCTCTTCTCAATTCCTCTCTCCTCCCCTCTCTCTCTCTCTCTCTCAATCCTCCTGCCTGTCTACTCTGAGCTCTGTATTCCTTCCCCAATCCAACCAAACCTCTCTCCCACTCTACTTTTTTCCCAATTTTTCTTATTTCCTTATCTCTCTCTCTCTAGATTCTTCTTTGGATCCTTCGAGGTCTCGCCACATCTCACTTCCCGATCACAAATCTTGACTTTCCTTCTCTAATAATCGATGGACCTTCTTTCTGTTTCCTCTTCTTTTTTTTCGTTTTCCCTCTGTAAATTCTTCCCTTTTTTATTGTTTCCTCTTCTTCCGTTTCGAGTTGCGAGTTCCTCTTCTTCGATGGATTTCAGAGAAAGGAGTCGCGACAGCTAAAAAAGTCATGGTGCACATAGAGGCAAACGGCGAGACTGGGGGAGAGGCGTAGATCTTGGCAGCTAGACAACAGAGCCTCGGCTGCAGTTGCGACAACAGAAAGAGAGCGATATTATCGATAATATCGCGATATTATCACGATAATCAAGTGGAACACTACGAAAATATCGCTGTTGCAAAAAAACGATATTATCGGCAATATTTCACCGATAATATTGATATTTTAGACGTTGGTTATGAGCAATTAGCCTAATCAATCATGGCATCAGAATCATTTACATTCCACCGTAATCTACTCAATGTCGAAACACCCAATTGCTAAGCTTTCACAACTTACGAACCCATTTCTCAAGTCGAAGCTGCTTCAAAGCGGGTCCTCGATTTGGCTTACTTTTCTGAGGACACTTCCATTTCCCTGTAATCCCCGCCGCAGGAGAATGATGAATATTTGTTGCATCTGCTAAGGCTTTTCTTTTCACGACTATTGGAGCTGTCATTTTACTAATCTCTTGTGGTCGTTCCACAATCTTTTCCTGATTGTTTCTTGTAAGTTTGCCTTTCCTAGTTGTTATAAAACCATTTTCCGATATTTCATTTCCATCATCTTTTCTGTCTCTGCTTCCATGAGTTGGCTTTCGTTCTGACACTCCACTTGGAATTAAATCTGAATCACTTCCAGTTAATATACAATCAACTTCTGTGTGGAATTCTGCTTCGGAGTTCTCCTGTAAAGTGAAGGCCTTGCTAGGAGTCATGTCTTGTGAAGACTTCTCGTCGTTCCTGCATGAACTTCTTTCCTTGTTCGATGGCTTAATTTTGGTTCCCTTGAAGGTCTTAGGCGATAGCTTGCATTGACAACTTTCCTTATTCAAGATTGATATTTCGACATCTTGTGCTGGGGCGATGAGTTGGTTTTGCCACGATTTAGGCATATGCTTGAGACACAAATCATTCTGACTAGGCAGGATTTCACTTACTCCATCCCTAGGGCGACCCTGTAATTTACAGACGTTAGGGCAATGAATGGCTTAAACAAGACATCTTGTTCACCTTTCGTGGTATTGAAACCCCTTAATAATCATCACAATTCATCTAACCCAATCATGTACGAATACACACCTACTATAACCAAAGAAAACAAAAACAGGAAAGGTTTAAAACGCGAGAACTGGAAAATGAGAGATCTAGTAAGAGAACCTCACTTACAGGCTGTGTTTTCTGCTTATTATCTCTGCAAGAGGTGATGCATTTTGCAAGCCCTTCCGACTGTAAATCAGCAACCGCTTCACCATCACTTCTCTTTTCATTAAAACCCTCCAAGTCCTCTTCATTTTCTCTGTGGCTGTTATCAACCAGAAACCCATCCTTCCCACTTTTGTTTTCTTTCCAAACAGTATCTCGAAAACCATCAGTTGTACTTGGATCAAAGGAGGAAGACTCGTACACATAGCTTGAGAACCAGTTTTTGATGTCAGTAGGCTCTAAAATAACAGGAAGGAAAAACAGATCAATAACTCCATTTTATTGTTTTCTTAACATGAACTACCACATCTTACGTTTTCCAAGAGAACAAATGCAAGAAGAGAATACGCATCAAAGATTCCATGCTTACATACATTTTATCAGTAACGAAACAATTGAATAAAGGGGAAGTTATTAACTTCAGGAAATAAGTGAGACAGACCTGACAGTTGTGAAGGCGGCTCTAAAGGACCTGGAGTCTAGAAGAAGAAAATTGTGTCAGATGCTTAAGTGTGAAGAAATTTTCAGCCATAATACAATAATTGTTGATAATATGAAGTTTCTGCAAACACCAAGGCAGTGAATTCTGTGCAAGACGAGTGGTGCTAGGGAAATTCATTGATCTCCATTTAAATGTAGAGGAGAAGAATTTAAGTGGTCAACTTGGTTAGGTGGATCCCTGTTTGAGGTCGTAGGTGATGTTCGAGGTTTCTGTGCGGTGAGGAATTAACTGTTGTGCATCCACTGAAGGATGACGCTTCGGGTTTGATGTCCATAAAGATTTTGGACATAATGCTTGTGGCTGTACAAAGCATGTTCTGGGAGACCAGTTTGCGTCTAAAGGGTTAAGTTTGCACAGGACAAACTAAAAATGCTTTCTTAGTGATGTGGCCAAAAGTGGAACATGGGGTAAAGGATTCACGATGCACATGTGAAACCAAGGCACATGTGATATAAAGGTTGAAGTATCTCGAAACGTATTCGAGGTTAAAAACTAAATTCTCTCCCCAGGTAGGGATTGATAGATAGGTTTTCCTACGCTTTTAACATATAGGATTCTTGGAGTCCTAGTTTTGTAACTCTATTCCTATTTATTGTATTAGGATACTATAGTGGACGCTTACAAAAAGCTTGAGTATTTGGGTACATTTGTTCTGTATGGAGAAGGGGCGGAAAAGATACAAGACTATAGGCAAAAGGAGAGATACAGAAATAGTACCTTTCCTACAAGCTGCCTTTCCTCCTGAGGAGCTCTCCCATTAACCTCTTCAGAATCACTTCTGTTTGTACTAAAATCCTCCGAAACCTTTTCTTTTCCCCTGTTGTTTTTAACCAAAAAGCCATCCTCCTTGTGTTTACTCACTTCGCAAATGGAATTTCCAACACCATCAGTTGCATCCAACGATGGCGACTCATACACATAGCTTGAGTACCAGTTTCTGATGTCGGTGGGCTCTAACAGATCAAAAAGCGGGAACAGTTCAATTACTTTGTTGCTACTTTTTGGTAACAAAACTACGCCACATTTCTTCTTGACTAATCGAATGGAACCAGACAGTATGCTTCAACGAATACATTGCTTATTCGGATTTTCTTAGCAGCCAAACAATTCAATTAATGTAGCGGAAGAAAAGGAAGAAATTTGGTAAGTGATACAAACCTGAAACCAACGAAGTTGATTCCAAAGAACTTGGGATCTACAACCGGAAAATTGTGTCACATTACAATCTTGAATTCCAATTCAGAACCACAAATATCTACTGAAAGTTTTGATCGTGTTCCACTTTGAAATAGAACCCATTAAACAAAAAGGGACAAGAAACAAGCGTACCTTACTTAACAAATGGCTTTCGTGCTCATATCCAGAAAAGCTGCCACATTTCACAACCCCATTTGGGGTTTCGTTCTTAGGAATAAAAGCTTCATTTTTTGTTCCATTTCTCTCGAACCCACCTGAGTTTTCTTCTATCTCAGTTTCGAGGACAACGGTATCATCGAGAAAAGAATTGGAATTCAGTGCAGGTGATTCATATTGGTAGCTGGGGAACCAGTTTTTCAGATCTGAAGGCTCTGGACAAAAATTTGAAACGAAAAAAAAAATGAAAAAAAAATTTAATCTTTCAGTTTCAGAGATTTGCAAAAGATGAATACAAACCGGAAGCGATGGAGAGCGAGCGTGGAGAGCTCAGAATCTGTGAACCCACAAAGAAAAAAACACAATGGAAGTGAAAAGTTGTTGAGATTATAATTGTAGTGTGGAAAATAAGGTGGACCATCAAGCATGGAAACGAAGAATCGGTACCTGGGAATCCATGGATTCTTCACGGAGAGAGAAATCAGAGCTTCGAAGGTTCAGCTTCGAATACTTGATCAGATTCCACGCCATTTTATTGGCTGTGTTTTTGTGTTGAGACTTTTGTTTGAGCGCTGGCGCAAAAATTTGTTATTTTCGTTTGAATCTCCCGCCATTTATTATTATTATTTTTTTTATTTTTCCTGTTAGAAAGCATCATGTAAATTCGCTCTTTTATAAATTTTTATATTATCTTTGTCGAAAACAAGGTCTAAAATATCGATATTATCTCGATATTTTTATTGAAATTTTCGTGTTTTTGGATCACGATATTTCCGATATCATCGATATTTTAGACCTTGATAGGAACTTTATGTAGTACTAAGTCACTCATGTATCTTACCATGCAATGTATAAAGTGTAAAATATTGTACTAATTCATTATATATAAATGATTATGGTGTGTTTAAACTTCTTTCATTAATTACTACATATTTTCTACACTCACAATGTTTGTCAGCTCGTTATATAATCAGCTTAAATTAGTTAAATCCATCATGCAATGCATTTCCCTTCAATTTTTTGTGATAAACTAATAGATAATTGACTAAACATCCTGCAAAATTTCAATAAAAATTTCCAAGTTTTTCTTACAATTTTCCTGGTTTTTATTCAATTTTTATCGATATCGATAATATCCTGATATTTCCATCGAAATTTCCGTGTTTTTGAACCACCGATATTTCCGATATCATCGATATTTTAGACCTTGGTCGAAAGCATAAAATTTTGGGTTAAAATCTTTTTGATCATTGTGTTTATGGTCTAAATTTACTTTGGTCACTGTGTTTTTAATTTAACTAATTTGGCTATTGTGTTTTACACAGTTTGCAATTTCTTAATATTTTAAAATATTAATTCTAAAAATAGCAATTAATATGTTGAAAATGTTATAGTACTAATTTCATTATGAATGTTATTGTGTGAATCGTAATAAATTAAGTGTAGGATTTTATGAGAGCTTTTAGACGTTTCCTCATTGTACTTGTTTACTTGGATAGCAAGATTCTCCATTCGTTGTCACTATAAATAAAGGTACAAATGGATGAGAAATCACACTACATAATTCCCAAACTCTCTCCACTCTCTGCCGCCAATCCTTTCCATCTTTTTTCCCTCAGTAATGTAAGCCTTAACAAGCACACTCCTGTTGTTGTGCTAAAGAATTGAAAGATTTGGGAGAAGCATCTTCTACCACATTTAAAGGTTTTCATTGTTTCCATCAAATCCAAGTTTTTCTGAAACGTAAAATCAATATTTTAAAGTCTTGAAAGTATGAACACATTCACCATGGTACATGAAACCCAAATTTATTTTTGCTTTATGTATTGCCTGTACTGCTCTATTGTACATATTGTTCATGCCTACGTAATATTTTATTAAGTTGCTTTTGCCATTCAATATTATGTTTTATCATGTTATTCGATATTAGTAAGGTGACTTAATGTGAGTACAAAGAAAAAAAAAAGAAAATAGAAGCAAAATAGGTTTTCTTTTGAAATCCTAGTCGTTGAGCCGCGCCGAGCTGAGCCACTCCACGCCTGAAGTCGTCCCCAATACGACATCGTTTTGACGTCGTACTCTGCAGCCCAATCCTTTGGGCCTGCTGCATGTTGAGGCCCAAGCCCAATATCTGGGCTCCCTTTTCTTGGCCCGCCCCAGCTGTTATTGGGCTCCAGTTGTTGCTTCTTGCACCAGATACTGCTGGGCTGCTACCCATCTCGACCCAAAGCCCCATATTGGGTTTCTTTTTGCTTCAACCCGCACCCAGCTTCTGGGCCTTCTACTTGTTCGGCCATCAGCCATCCAGCCCTAATATGGTCTAAACCACTATATTTTCTTGCTTCTACAACAAACCCTGTTTGAGCCTACCCTATTAAATTAATAGGAAAACTAATATAAAAAAGCTTGAAAACTTTGAGTTTTAATCAAAATAACAAAAAAAATGTTGTAAGTGAATAATACCAGGAGGGACCTTTTAGAGTAAAAATGTCATTTTCGTTAAAAATGAATACTATTGGTAGTGTTTCGTTAAAACTCCCTAAATTAATTTAGTGACCCACATTCCAAAAATTAAAAAAAAAATTGTTTTCACTCGCAGTCTAATTTTTATAAATGATGAATCAATATTTTATTATTCTTTGAACCGTTGACATCCTTTCATAGTCTTGAAGCTACTCATGCTAAGTCACCAAAGCAACCCAAATTCACTATACTAGTTGTATATTGTATCTTGTCTTCTTATAGGTACCTTTCTTTGAATTGAAAGTTCATCTAAACTGAACTTGTAGTTTTGAATTTAGTGCCTTTTGTGAGACCATGATTTTGTAGAACCTGAGTAAGGCTGATCGGCATACGAATACCCTATAAATCCGATCATGGACTCAACAACTTTCCTAATAGAGCTGCACAGACGGAGCATCGACAAACATGAGCATTCAATCTGTCTTATAATATTGTGTGTTTCGTTACTTTAGGAAGGTGATTAGCGGTGGATACTGAAACCCTAGGTAGTTTTCTTATTGTTCTAAATCTTATTCCAAACCCGCTTGCTTTTAATTATTTATCTTTTTCTATTTTTATATTTTCAATTTCAACCCATCTTCAATCTATTCCGTTAAATCTCTTTTGTGCATATTTGTTAGTTTTATGAATAAAAATCTAAGTTTTTAGGATTCATAATCTAGATATCTATTAGTGCAATCCTCGTGGGAATGACCGTGTACTTCCTTTCTATACTATGTGTTTGATTTTGTGCACTTGCAAGTTTAAATGCATAATTAATAGCTTAATATTTGGTTGCTAATTGCATAACATATCAACAATAAGCTTCAATCCTTACTCTTATGGTGTAGTTACTAGTTAACAAGCTGACATGCCAATTTCGTGCAACAAATCAATAATATATTTAATTTTAGACAAAAAAATTCTAGCATTGCTTCTCGATACCTCAATCCCTATAAAATATTTCAGAGAATTGTTTCTGAGATATTCGTACTCTGATCCGCCATTCTGGCTCCAAAAAATCATGGTCCCACAATATCTCTTCTTGGATGTTCTAAACTATAGTGCCAAAGCAAGAAAGTGCTCTGGAACCTGGACTCCTGACCGGTCACGTGATAGGCCTTCGTAGCTTGTATGGTTGCAATGTACAATCCATTCGGGAGGCATTCCATCTTCTCATGAATATGCTTTTGGTCATATTCATAGGAAGTGATGCATTCTTCAGTGGTTTTAACACGATTCTCTCGAATATTCTTTAAAGCTGTTTAGGCCCAAAATAAAGTTTGGGCCGAGTAGAGAATCATTCTCGGCCCGGAAGGCCTTGCGGCATGAATCGTTCAGTACGTGGGCCTCCAAACCTAGGTCGGCTAGGTCAGGACGTAGGATAAGTCAAGTCCTGGTGCAATAAGGAGTCTCGGCAGGATTAATAACCCGAGAGCGAATCCGACTCAATAAAGGACTAGGTTCACAATCATAATGAAAGTAGGATTGGTCGAGTCAGTGTTTGATTGGGAGAAGAAGTCCTAGTCTGAATGGGGTTTTAACTCGACCTTGGGGGGAGCCGTTGCTATAAATAGAAGAGGCCGTGCATCATTCGAGGCCCCTACAATTCAACACAAAACTGCCCTGCACAAGCTTTCTCAACAACTTTGAGATTTTTTCTTTTCTTTTCTCGCTGACACATCTTTCGTTGGCATCAACAGCACTGTGGAAGCAACCGGTGATATCTTAAGTCGGCATAGATAGCTCTGTCATCGTAGAATCAGTCGGTCTCGCAGTATCTTCCGTTGGCATCAACAACACTGCGGCGAGGACGGTTGGTTACCTATCCAAGTCTCGGTCGAGTAGGATTTCTGGATCATTATTGATTGAGGTCATCTCATTAGCCTCATCGGCGAAGTGAGGTGTTACAGTATATCGAGCTCGGTGCATTGCACGCCGAGTTATTTTATGATTGGATATTCCTAAGTGGGATTTAGAGTTCGGCATTCGGACGGCCGAACCACGTTCACCATTAAAACTTATATTTGCTTTGAGTATTTGTGCCCTTACACTTTGGTGTCGATTCGGCGTGAGTTTACTCTGACGAATAACATCACTGTGACTGAATCCGACGACGACGACTCATGAACTTCGTAAGAATAGTAACCTTGTCTTCAGGTTCGAGAACCCAAGAGGCCGAGACGCGTTCATTCCTCGGTCGCAATCGCAAGACGCAGGAGTCAGCCGCGCACCCAACGCAACATCAACAAATTTACTCCTCGGCCGAGCTCGGCCGATGAGTTGGCACGCCCGCATTCACCGAAGGACGTAGTTAGCTTATAGATTACTCGGCCTGCATGCCACGTAGGCTTGGTAGTTTCTAGGGTCAACATTTTGGCACGCCCAGTGGGACCTAGGGCTAAACTACGAAGTTCATGCCAATTGAAACGCGATCGGTAAAAAAGAAAACAGATATGGGAAAATCAACAGCCGATTTGCCGATTCAGAACGTAGGACACAGTGTGCCACAGGCGCAGAATCCCGTCAGCGCCGTGACACCTGAGTCCACAAGCGCAACCCGCCGAGAAAAGGAAGTTAATCTCGACGGTCAGGTTCGCAGTCTTGAAATTCCCGACAGGAACACTTGCGTTCTCAATGAAGGAGTAATGGAAGATTGTGATGAAGATGGTGGCGAAGGATCCGATCCACCCACAAGGTCGTTTTTTCGAAAACGGCTTGACGAGCAATCTCGGACGGTTGAACAGACATTGAGTCGAGGAATCGATAAACTTCATGACGTGATACGCAATTCCAGTGAAGCACAAACCAGATTACTCGAAATACTAGTTAGCAAGGTCAGCGATGGTAGAACTTTCGATCTTGCCCAGCATTTACCGCCGAGGAATAATCTATTATCAAGTGCACCGGCCGAGCCAATTCCTGCTCGGCTCAGGC